AAATCAATTAAGCATGATTTCGGCACTTCAGAAGAAATGAGCACAACAAAGAAGGACATTTTGGAGAAAATATGTTAGTATAAGCAGAAAAATACTGTAATAGAGGATTGAGAAGAAGAAAAAAATAAGACACTAAAATATGCTTCTTCTGCCTGTAAATATAACATTGTTGCTTGTAAACCTATCATCTGCACTTCAGCTGCTATTTTTCCCAGTTCTTTTTCTTCTATTCTTTGTCCAGTCTGCTGACATCATCTTTTTTTTTTTGACTCTCCAATCTTCCTCCCTTCCCTTCACTCTTCGTTTCTGTATCGCTATGCTGAATTTGTTTTTCATTTTGGCTTCTTCCTCACTTTTATCTATTCCTGGTGTAGTTGTTGCTGGTTTTAATTGTACTACTACAGCTCTTTTAATCTGAGATTTAGCACCTTGCTTTCCCTGATGTCCTGCTGTAGATGCAACAATGCTTGAACAGTCCAACAGATATTTGGGGAAACTCCAGAGGTATGTATCAGGGCTGCATGGTGAAGCTTCAAGCAGTGTAAAACACCCAGAAAGGGACAGGCTAGGAGGATCAGGATCTGACTGTCCAAAAGACCATTACAGAAAACAATTTAAGATAAATGTTATGATGAGATACTGATAAATCTCATTTCATTAAAGGGATCTTCTCTTAATGAATAGAGAACTTGTCTACTCTTCCACGGACCACAGCTCATACATCTGATATAGAGATATTTCCAACCAGAGTGCATCAAAGGACAGAGGTACAAGCATGCTACAATAGGAGACATCTAGATTTTGCTCCCTTTTGGTAGATAACAACCTACTGGATTGTTTGTCTTCCAGAATCAACAAAAAATAAGTGCAACCTAATCATTACTTAACAAGGCAACCCAAAGGATAACTTGGAAGTCTTGATGCATAGAATATATTTTAATTCCCTCACACAGATAGCAGCTCTTAACTTTGCAATTCAAGTAACATTTCATGTTACAGGTCAGTAGAGATCACTTCAGGTCAGGCTGGTATGGGCTGATGGTTGGACTAGGTGATCTTAGTGGTCTTTTTCAATGCTTATGATTCTATGATTCTACATGCAGTCACTTTAAAACGACAAAAGTCCATGCCAGTGCTGAAAGGAGCACTTCTGCTTTCCCTGCTCATCTCAAGCACTTCCAACAACTGGCTTGCAGTGCTGCTGCTGATGAGCTAGCTATGTGCATCATGGTATGAGCCATAGGAGGGAAACCATCCTGCTGCACAGAGCAAAAATACTGCCTTATTTCAGTTATCTGTGGAGCTGCAAGAGTGCTCGTGGCAGTACAGGAAAGGTAACCAGAATGATGGATAGTGACATTCATAAACATCTCAGTTCAGAGATCCCAATGACCTTGGATCAGGTAATTCATATGAACTAAAAAAATACCAATTACTTTGCTTTCATTCTCATTTTTGTCATTTGAGTGCCAAGAATCAGTCATGTTCTGATAGAACAGAGGCATACTTACATTTAGTCTCCTTTTAGAAAGCTTTAAGCTTCAAGTTACACCATTTAGATATTAGGATTTTATCTTTAATGATGGAAGGGATTATATATGATCTTGGTGATCAAGATTGCTATTGTTCTCAGCATCTCTTTGGACTTTTTAGTAGGGTGGGAAGGACAAGAAGACATCTTGGACACCAAGTTGTTCAGAGACAGAGCAAAGAAGGACTCTATTTATTTTCAGGTCAATAGTTGCTTGTGAGCAGTAAAGAGCATTGTACAGGCAATGGCAAAATACTCCTTAAACTAAGCAGATCTGAACTCAAGTAAAATCTTTCTGAGACTTTTCTGTAATTCTAACACTATTTATGTGAAATCTGTTTGTAATTAGAAAAAGGCTGAAATAATTTTGAACCACTCAACACATGAAAAGCACTGCAATGACTCTTCCAACTCCTTTCTATTTCACATGTCAAAACAGACAGGGAGATTATCTAACCCAGGCAGGAGGCTGAGTAGACCCAGAGAGGCTTCCTCTGAGGACTGTCCAAAATCTTACCAGAAGTGATCACGATGAATTCACACATTAGATAAAATGACCAACTCACAATCCCAGTCCAAACAAACTGGGCAACTCCAAGGGCAGCTGTACTGACTTTTCTGTTGTCTGTACTCATTGAGAAGGAGTTTTTCTCCTACTCTATTACCGTGATTACAAATTGTGGAAGAACTGTTTAATCTGATGTGTGTTAGAAAAGCTACATTTCTCACTTTCCTAATTTTCAAAGATGCTGCACACCATTATTTTTGCGTTGCTTGCTCACCATGGAAGAATAGGCAAATTCTTCTCTATTTGATATTTCCTTCTTTGGCATGATGAAGTTTCTCAGTATCTCATTACAATATTTATCTTAAACTATCTTCCAAACAACTTCTGTAATGATCTCTCCATACATTCTACAAGATTTACTGGTATCTACAGCACAGAGTTGTAATATTTTCTTCCTCCTGGATCTATCTTTCAGATTGCATTCTGAAAAGCACACAAAAGTTATCCTCTTCCAAAGGCTTTACTGCCTTTGACAGCTATCACATTAAATATTTCACAGCATGAGAGCTATTAATGTGAATTAAAACATGGAAGAGATTCAGGAAGACAAATGGTCCCTTGCTTTCCCTAAGCAAAATTAACCAAGTTATCCAAAATCTGCTCCTGCAGATCTGAAAGGACAGAACAACATTCAGCTTCACCAGGGAATCTTTTCACTGCTTCCTTCCTAGGATTTTCCTCCTCACTATTTTCATGAATTAATCCCTGCTACAATACATTGCTGTAAGAGTAAATATCCTGTTCTGTCCTGTCCTTTCTGTCACACCAGAGACAGCAGACTGTTATCCTCTTTAACTTTTCAGCAGTCTTATAATACAGACATGAAAACATTTAGTCATCCCTTTTATTTTTTAATTAAACAACCTCAATCTATCCTTCTAAATAAATCGTTTTCAGTCAACTCAGATCACACTCTGTAGTTTCTCTCACTGTTCCAAGTTCTTACTGGAGTGCGATAACCAAAAAGAACCAAAAAAAGCAGTGCCAACACCTTAAGTCTAAAGTTCAACAAAAAGACAAATTTATACACCTCCCACGTGCTAATCCTGTTCATACATCCTGTGACAGTGTTTCCTTTTATTATGGGAATGGGACACTGTTGACTTACACTCACTGGAAATCTGCAACAATTACAGTTGGAATTTTCATTCCCCACAGACACTTGCATACAAGCATATTACCTCCACCTTGCCAGAACTGACCAGCTTTTTATTTGTTCAGATCACATATCCATTTTGCATCCATCTCCATTCCAAGTCTGTTCTTCAAAGTAAATGCACTCCCACCCAACAGCTTTATGTACACAGCTACACACCTTGTGCACAGAGGCTCCGGCTCTGGTTTCCTTGGGGAGTGTACACCATCAATCTCTGCAAGGATATTCTAACCCCAATACTGATTAAACTCAGAAAAAAGAATATGAACTGATTTGTGCTGATGTTTTTCAAATAAATCGATTTCAACTTATCCATCGTGTCGTTTTTGTTGGTGTTTATTTAAAACAAACAAACAAAAAAAAAAAACAAAAAACAAAAAAACATGGTATTTTCTTCTGAGAATCAAATTAATGGACCCAAAACCACCCAGCCCTGTAATTTAATTCCTCTGCTATAACCAGAGAGACAAAGAAATTAAGTGTTCCTGATGATTGCTCAACAGGATATCCGTCACCCCTGGCACAGTGAGACTAATTTTAGAAGAGAAAGTGGCTTGGAACTCGTTCAACTGTCAATGTTGCATTGTCAGGTCAGGAAGGAATTCACCAAATATTTCTGGGCTCTGGTCAGTTCTCACTCAGCTTCCAGGTTTTCTGTTCAAACTGGTTCGTTATCAAGACATAAACAGGAGACAGCGAGCTTCCTCCATAATCACACAGCATTTATACCTTTGCCCAGCTTTTGTTTCATCAGCATTCATACAGACAGGTGTCCAACTTCAACTCTGCTAGCTTTTCAACCAACTTCTAAACTTTTCAGAGGTTGCTGGGCTATAATGCTGGAAGCAGGACAATATACAACGAGAAGCCTGCTGATGCATGGAGCATGAATGCTTTTTAGAAACTCTCAAATTAATAGCTTTCCCCTATCCGCAGACTGTTCGTGGTCAATATCTGAAAGTAATTTGTAAGTAAGGGAATTAAAAAAAACAAGCTGCAATTTCTAGAGTTTTGCAATTATCTGGGGATCATATGGCTTGAAGAATCACTGATGGCTGCAAGCCATTGAAAATTCCAAGGCAAAGGGTTGTTGTCAAAGGTTACTTTAACAAGCAATTGTCCAACCAGAGATATAAAACAGCAACTGTGGGGAGCCTGGTATTTAAAAAAGAAACTTTGAGAAGGTAAATAATTTATTACATGCATCTTGCAAACCAGGAGAAAAACAGTTATAAAAGCAGTGTATAATCTGAGTCACTACTGAGTGTTTTAAGAAAGGAATACAGCTGATAATGTGTGAAAAAAATAATGTGAATCAGTTGTAGCCCCATGCACATCAAACATTTGGTATTATTTAAGACTATAAAAATCTCCACTTCCTATTCTCCAGTATTTTCATCAGAAGAAAAAGTTGTCTTCCCTGCAGTAAGCTCAGTGAGAGCTTGTAATAAAGCAGTATTTCAGCAGTTTCCATACTATAGATGGGTCTCCAGGGTGTTAATTACAAAATGAGAAGAAACTCCTTAAGTAATCAGTGAAATCTCCAGAAGATTTAAAGCATTTAACTCAGCATTTCCATTTTTAGCCCAATTATGTTCATAGCCATGAGCTTTTAATGCCATAGAAGCACTCCATTCAACTCAGAAGTCTTGAGTCAGGAATATACTCAAGTTTTCATAAGAATACTGAAAATCAAGTCAGCTACTTAATCTTTAAAAACATAAACAGACATATGAGCAACATACCTGAAAAAGAACATGAACAGAGCAGATGTGATGCAGAACAAAAGGACCTACAAGAAGGAGAAAGAGTGTTATTGCATCAACCATCACGCTTCTCCTTTATGTTCTGGATCGCGAAGATTTTACAACTGCTCCTATAAAAGTTACACTTTATTTACATGCTTCAACAGCACAAATGAAAGCTTGTCTGAACACCCCAAAAAGGATTCCCTTGCTTGTAATGGACTTTGGGTCAGTCCTGTGAAAGTCAGAAAAAAAAAAAAACAGAAATACAGGATAGGGTGGTGGGATGGCAGACACAGCAAAGGAATTAAATAATAAATAGGAAAATAAATAAATAAAGGTAATCATAATTAAAACAACACTAGAATAAAAATAAATAAGAATAAATAAGAGAGCAGAATGGAAATTTAAACATTGCATTTTTCTCCATCTTTAACCCAGGGAGGAAAAAACAAAGACAAAGTCAAAATGGTGCTTTCTGCCAATTTAGATGAAGAGATGGCTGGATCACAGGCAAAGGAGTGGAGAGAGACCTCAGTGCCAGCAGTATGGAAGATAACAGAGGACGAAGCCTTACAGCAGCATCGTTGTTCTCCTTGATACAGCAACAGCTGCTATGTCTCAACTGTAGAACTGCTTGTACACGCAGCATCGTCAGCAACAACCATATCATGCTTTAAATCCATAACCAGCCTTAATCCATATTTTTGCCAGACAGAGCTTGAGAGTGAGAAAATACCGTTTTGTGCAAATATATTGGCCTACGTTCATACCAGCAGTTATGAGAAAAATAACTTGCAGACAACTCACAACAATTTTAGAAAACACTTGCACTTATTTTCAAGGGTTCAAGAGGTTTTGAGCAAGAAAAGATATGGACAGTGTAAGTGGGAAAAAAAGGGGAATGTTGGCATTACATATTGGAAGGCTACAAACAGATGTAGAAGAGTAGATTAGGACGCTGCAGGTAGATACAGATCAGAAAGCTTGAATAGGCAGAGTTGATAGTGAGCTACAGAGGACAAAAGTCCTACAATGAGACTATTTCTGTTCTCAATGCTCTCTGATATATGACTTCAAATTATATCAGACAAGATATTGTAACACTGTGTGTTATTCCTTTTCCTTCCCCAGTACTATCACATTTCATAATTCTGCACCACAAAAGCCTACATCTGAAATCATTCTATATGAAAGCATTTGGGTGAAGTGAGGACAGTGAAATATTTCCAACTACAGGCACCCTTCTCATCTTTTTTTGTATCATCTGCACAATTCCCGAGGTTGCAGCGCCAGGTTGTCAGCCAGGCAACATCTAATATTCATAGCAATACTAGAATAAATTATTTGAAACATCAAGTTTATAAATATCTAGATAAAATGATAAAAAAAGTCAACTTTGCCAACAAATATATTAAAACCATTGTACCTTTCTTATTTGACAGATGTTTTCAGTAAAGGAGGAAGTGTAATTCATCTGTACCTGAATGCACCTATGTGGCAGTTGCGTATGTTTATTAAGAAATTGGGCACAGAGCTGCTCAAACACAATACAGAAGAAAACTCAAAGTTAGCAGTTCATTATTCAGCTACAAAGGAATTTTAACTGAGGTCAGCTGAAAGGTTTTGCATCCCTTTTCATTAATGATCCTAACGACAGAATAGAGATTATGTTACAAATTAACAAAATCCTTTAGGTCTTCACATAATGTGATTGAATTGTCCAAAGTCAACAAGATGAAATTCAATTAAAATAAATACAAAGTACTTGGCAGGAAAAATCATATATAGACACATCTACTCAAAAAATATAGAAAAGTAGAAACAACTACACAGACAATACAAGAGTATAACAAACTCCATAGATGCTGCAGAAAACCCTATGAAATAGAATTATGGACTCATTTAGAATCAGAGGAGGTAAGATGTAGCAATATATTTCACTAATAACCTGGTGTTATTAAAATCTCACAGTTTAATTTTGGGCACTATTGTTAAAGGAAAGTGTAGGCAAAACAAGACAGCGTACACAGTGTAGGAGACAGTGAAAATAACAGGCATGCCAGGCATGAATGTTGGAAAAATCAACAGCTGTTTGCTGAAACTAAACACAGAGGTAACTGATGACAAATAGAACTATTTTCAAATACACAGTCAAAATCACATACTGATAAATATATCATTGGCCATATCATTGGCCATTGCTATAGAAGGAGAAGTGAAATAAACTACAGCGTAGGTTGGATGTTAGGAAGAGCTTCCTTCACTGGGCAGTGGTTCACTGCAACAAGTCACCCGCAAGCTTGTGGAAACTCCCTTATCAGAGAGGTTTAGAAGCAGTAGAAGCAAACACCTCTTAGCAATGCTCTGGGAGTAGCTGACACCATTGCTAAAGAGCTGCTTCCAGCCCAGTCTCTACACAACACTCAAGGACAGTAAAATATACAGCTAAACCATGTAGATTCTTCTACACAAAAAGCATGGTTCTACATGTAAAGTCCAGCCCTTGTCTGCTTATTGCATCTCCAACATACAGAAAGTCAATGGTCGCTGTATTACAAAATTAAGCTGCTTTCAAAATAAGCCTTCTGCTTTTCCAAATAAACTTTTCCATGTTCTATAAAATTTCTAGGCTGTATCCTCAGTATCTACAACATTCAATGGCTGTTTTAAATATGAAGAATAACTACACTAAAAATGAGAAAAAACGCTGAGGCCTACAGAAATATAATTCTAAGTACTGAGTGAATTGAGCCTCAAAATAGTAGCTAGCAAGCAGGAAGTCTAGTTTGGGATTTTCTTGCAAATCCGTCACTTTTTGATTCATGATACAAGGTCAACAAATTGTGCTTAGGAACACACAGACCTTGAAACGTTCCAACTGCAGTAACAGCTACAAGGAGCAGACAACCTAAATGTTTCTAATGAGAGTCATCCGCCCTGAATATTTTAACAAGTTCGGAGAAACGCACAGAAGGTACAAAAAAATTCCTTATGCCAGGTTGGCAGATTTGTCGTGTAAGGTGAGTGCTGTAATTTCATGCTGTAGTTCATTCTATTGCACTTTGCTGTATTATACCAATCACTGCATTATACTAAACCTTAATAAGAAAGGAAAGCTCCTGACAAAATTTCACAGGCATTTCAGGCTTATGCAGTCTGGAGTAGAGAAGGCTGAGGAGAGACCTCACTGTGGCTTTCCAATACTTAAAGGGAGCTTATAAACAGGAAGGAATTAACTTATCACATGGATACATAGTGATAGGACAAGGGGAAATAGTTTAAAGCCAAAAGAGGAAAGATTTAGATTGGATATAAGCAAGTTCTTTATTCAGACAGCAGAGAGGCCCTGGCACTGCTGCCCAGTGAGCTGTGGTGCCCCATCCCTGGAGGTGCTCAAGGCCAGGTTGGATGGGCCCTGGGCAGCCTGAGCTGGTGTAGGCAACCAGACCATGGCAGGAGTTGGAACTGGATGGGCTTAAAGATCCCTTCCATCCCAAACCATTCTATGATTCTATTCTTTGATTTTTTTCTCATTTTCATGGGTGACAAAGCCTTTTTTTTTTTTTTTTTTCTTCCAGGAAAGCACAGTCCTCACATAAGCAGCATCATGAAGCAATGTTAGACAGTTTCCAGCTGTCCCTGATGCACAAAGTAGGAGCAGGTCAGGGACTGCTGATTTACCTGGAAGTTTTGGGGTCAGCAGGTGATAGCAGTAAGGTTGCTCTGACTGCTGGGGTATGAACTGACTTGGAAGCATTAGCTGAGCATTTTTGGGGCTGCAATATGCTGTTTCTCAATATCTGAACATACCCCCCTGTAGATGACACTCATTTTCTTATAACCACAGTGATGTTTATAGTCAGATTTTCTGGGTTACAAAAGTCTCTAATCGGAGGCTGCTGATTGTCCCACACAGTCAGAAGAACAGTGGAACCTACGTTTGTTTTAAAGTACCCCAAATGTAATTAAAAAGGAAAAGCACTGAAGATATATGTAATCTATATAAAGGGGACACACTAGGGATACTAGCTGCCTGTGGTATTTAGAGTGTCAACACTGGATAGTGTTAAATCCATTTCACAGAGGCTTTGAGGGTGTCTGGACCACTAGCACATCAACACCTGACTTCAAGGCTATTCCTGAGATGTGAAAACCATCACCTTCTTGATGAAGCACTTAGCAATCCATGTGAGAGCTAAAGCTATGGACAAAAAAAAGGTTACTGCTTGCAGTTCTTGAAGGCTGCACACCGGAGAAAGAAAGAACACCTGGCTGCAGTCTGTGTGAGGACAAATTAATTGGTAAATACCACGGGAAACTTAAAACTCAGATGATATTTGACTTGAAAGTCAATAAAGCCAAGTCTCTCCAGTAATTGTTACTTGAGTCAACCTCTTCCAAAATTTACAAAGAAAATGTGGTCTCAGACTTTTACCCTTTAAATACATGATCCAGAAGAAAAAGTCATTTCACATATTGCTTTAATCCTGAATAAAGCCACCCTGCTATCCACCCACAGAAAAGCCTCTTGCTTTCTCTGCTGATAGAGCTTACAAGCACTTTTTCAACCTCTGTGTACCTAGATGAGTAGTGGTAGGAAGATAGTGCTTTAGATTTGTGATTAGTCGATCCATTCTCCAGGTTTGCCTCTAATTCAGACACAAGGAACAATTCTTGGCTCCCAAATGCCATTCTGCTTCTTTCCCATGCGTATCTTTTGCCTCCCCTCCGCCTCCCCCCCCCCCCAAAAAAAAGTCAACTACCTAGATTTAGACATAAATCCAAAAGCTGCACAACAGCACTGTAACTATAATGTGGTGTAAACTGAGAAAATTGCCAGCTATTGGCTGTAGTTCCAAAACTTTATTTCAGGATGTTATTGCTCCAATAAAAATGCTTTCTGTGACTCTTACTGGTAAGAATCTATCTTAATGAAGTTTACTTTTAATAGAAATGATTATAAAAAACCCAAATATTTTCAAACAATGGAAAATATGTGGGTTAATGTAACAGCCTTACACCCCAATGGCCTTATACCTAAGAT